GAGAGAGAGGGGGGGGGGAGAGGGAGAGGGAGAGGCAGTGGGAGTGAGAGAGAATAAGTGAGTGAGAGAGAGAGACACAGAAATTTAGAGAAACTGATATAGATAGATGATATATATAGAGAGAATGAGAGATAGAATAAGTAACAGAGAAAGAGAGAGAGGTGGGGAGGGAGGATAGAGAGAGATAGAGAGAGAGGAGGGGAGGGAGGATGGAGAGAAAGAGAAAGACAAGAGAGAAAAGAGATAGAGATAGATAGATAGACAGATAAAGAGAGAGAGAGAAAACAAGAAAGATAGATGGATAGATAGATAGAGAGGAAAAAAAAAAGAAAAAGAGAGTGTGGAGAGAGAGAAGAAAGATAAAAGAAAAAACTGTGTGTGAGGTTAGAGAAAGTGTGTGTGGGAAAGAGAGAGTGAGAGGGATAGAAGAAGGAGGGAGGGAGGAGAGGAAAGGGGAAGGGAAGAATAAGAATAAGAAGAGAGAAAGTGAATGAGTGTGTGTGTGTGTATGTGTGTAAGAGAGAGAGAGAGAGAGAGAGAGAGAAGAGCGCCTCACAAGTACCGCGTGAGCCGTAATCATGCCAGCAGACGTGAATGCCATCACCCTATTGCTCCCCCTCCCCTGGCTACGAACCAGGAAGCTGGTGTGCTCTCTGTGGAAAAACTAGCGTTAACAGACATCTGTTACCTGTTCATCTGCTGACTGCCCTAAAATCTCCCACTTGTCTTGGTTCAAATACTGTGTTTGACTGCCGTAAAGTGGACACTTTGCGTTCGGCCTCAGGGATCCCTCATCCCGTGGTCTAACAGAACACTGCCTCAGAAGCTCCACTGGAAGTAGATGTAAATCCCACCAAATGATGACAGTGAGGGCTTGCTCCAACTAGAGTCCAGGGAACTCGTGAATATCATTCGGAAAAGTAGAACTTGCCAGGAAAAACTGCATCTTACATTTCTTCGAGGCCACCTCTCAAACTGGCTGAGAAGAGGGATGCTGTTGTTATTGTACTAGACATTATAGACATCTCTACAAGATCAAGCCTTGAAAAGCTTGATGTAAGTATTGCTGATTCTGTTCGGGCACATAGAATTGACGAAGAGTGGACACATCACTGCTAATAGTAGCTCAGCATCTTGGTGGACTTCAGGGAAACCTCGCATAGTGCAGTCCATCCCCACTGAACCCTCGTTCAACCCTGCCCACACACTTCAGCCCCTGGCCGCTGGATCCTCATCCTCATCAGGTATAACTGGGGTAGGTCCTTCAATCGTTCCCCTGAGACACTACGGAAACTCAGAACGAGCAGTGTAATTACTGTCTGCGCCCTGGGCATACTGTCCAAGTGTCTCACTCGCATAGAGAAGGAGGGCAAAAGTCATTCTTCCATAAAATCTCGACAGAACAGGCAAAAAATAACGCCCTATTTGCTGAGACACCACAGTACACCACAGCCTTTCCTGCATCACCCCAAACACACACAGACTATCGACGGCCTTAGTTCAACAACTCAGGCCATTAAAAAAAATGCTAGCCAATGACTGCATTACTATAATATCCGCTGTCAGGGGTCTTCAGACCAAAATTGATGACCTCATTCACAGGCATGTGAACACACGCCTGATGTTGTTGCATGTGTAGAAACCTTCTTAAATGAGTCAATCCCTGACAATTATGGACAAATGTGTGGGTATACAAGGTGGCATCGACGTGACAGGAAGCGCGGGACCTTTGGCGGTGTCGCAGTCTGCATCCACAAGAGTTTATCCTTTTCCTCAATAGAAGTCCCTCTCCCTGTCCACCTGGAGATGGTGTTCTTTAAGGTATGGACCCAGCACAAAAGTTCAATTTTGCTTTGTGTCTGTTATCGTCCCCAATGGCAAGGATGTGATCCCATTACAGGCCCACTTGGATGAGCTTCTGCAGCAGCATTCCTGTGACCATGTCGTTATTGTAGGCGACATGAACCAACACCTCATTGCAAGATCCTTTGAAGAGCTTTTCGGATTATCAAATCATGCTGTATTTCACACACACATATCTGGCTCTTCCCTCGATCCTGTTATCAGTGATCTGCCAGAAACTCTTTTTAACCTGCCGCCCCCTTAGTGCCGTGAGATCATTTATGAGACCACTTTGCCGTCCTGAGTGAGGTTAGCATCTCTGCAAAGAGGAATAGTCCACTAACACGTATCAACTGGCTTTGTAGTAGTGCAGACTGGGAAAGCCTCTGTGGTGCTCTACAACAGACCTTGGCCATCTGTCCTCACTGGTGATGTGGATGAACAAACCCTTCTCAGTCATCAAAATCACCATGGCACTCACAACACTGTGTCTACACACCATGAGTCATCGACGACAATATTCATAACAATGAAGAAAGTGGTCATGTTGCTGTATGGAAACAATGATAGCCCACTCTGCATCCCTACGAAGCATTGTCACATTATGAGCGGCAGAGTATATGATTTTCTTATAACACTGGAGGGAGGGTGCAGTATATGTGTCATCCAAATCCAGTGCGCAGGCAGCCTTGGTGAGGCGATCAACAGCGTCATTACCAGCAAGACATATGAGACAGTGTCCACACCAAAGATGCGATGAGGGAACTATCATGGGCGATGGCGAGTTGATATATTTCCTAAACAACAAGGACGCAAACAGGTCTTGGAGAGGAGAGCGCAAGAAGTGCTGATTTGGAATTGCAGATTATCACGCCATTCACTTTTCTTTGAACAATGGGAGTTACTGCATCTAAGAGGCCTTTAAGTTCACAGAAGGTGGAGCTTGAAGAATCAGTTAGCCAGCGACCAAGCCACGGTGGGTGAAAATATGGCAAAGGGCAGGTGACAGGTAGTCAACAATTGATCGAAGAAATAATATATAAAGAGTCCTTGCTATCGGAATGGAAACACTTGTAGCATTGTTTGCGAGGCACTAGATGGGGATGAAGCATTGCTGTAGACGGTCAAGGTTTTTAATAATGGGGTTGTCTTTCAGGTATAGCAGGGGTGATTCTGACTGGGGCCCTAATTACAGATACTGTGTTCAGTGAGAGATAACATTCTGACCCACAGTGAATTCAGCAGAGTTCTAAGGTTGCGGAATGAGAAGATTCTACTTTTTTCTGGGGAAATGATGAGACCACAGGCAGTAGAAGATGCATAGAAAACATGGAGGAGTGTCTGAAGATGTTGAGGTGAAGTAGAATGGATGCAGATGTTATCAGCATAGCTGGTAACAGTAGATCAAGTAGTTCTTGATCATCCTTCTTCAATAATGCAGTCATCAGACGGAGATTACCAACATTACGTTTGGAGGAGAGTGGAAAGATTGCAAGTACTTGACTGGGCAGACCAAGCAGTAATGAGATCGTGAGCATATTCATGTGGGCTTTTCCTTAACAATTTGTTTATGATGTGCCACATGGTCCCAACGCTGGTGTGATGGTTGATACTATCTGCATATTTTTTTCCATGAGTCTATGAAGACACACTTCTGGAGGGCAATCAAATCATCTCTTGACATCTGGTACTGGGCGTAGATGGTCTGGTGTAGGTTGCCTCTGGAAAGTGAGACCAGCTTCTGTTGCATTCCTTTGTGCCTGGATGATGCGATCGTCTAACGTCCAGGAATGAATCACAGACCGACTTTTAATGTGAGGTTTAGTAACATACAGGTTAAAAAAAATCATGTGTGGCTTTTACCCGGGAATTATATAAGTTCTCTGGGGAAAGTAAGAAATGTGCAAAGGAAGCTGGTAATGTATGAGACATATGTGGGGCAATACTTAGGGGGAATGGAGATGCGGGCACATTGATGGGGAAGAGAAGTTTGTGTGACAGGGAGCACTGCAGGATAAGGGCAATGTGGTGGGAGAAGAGAGAAGGGATAGAATTGCAGCTGACATGAGATGCCACAAGCCCATATGTTATAATGTGATCCACGGAACCCCCGCGAACGTGTGTGGCTCCTCCACTGTTCCAGCGGGCGAGGTGGTGACGGCGGATGTACTTGAGTAAGTTACCCGTTTCGATTGGGAGTAGAAGAAATGTCACTAAGAGCAGGGTGTCAGACATTAAAATCACCCATGTAGACTATGCCATGATCTGTAGGTGTCGGAAGGGTTGGGAGGTTAAACACGTCAAGGGCAGAGTACACATTGCACAATCGGAGTTTACCATCTCCCACTGTGACCGCAAAAAGCTGAAAAAAATGTCAACACTTACAGAGCACCGAAAAGCTGATGAGGCACGGACGAATGAATGTAGGTAATGAGGCCATTCCTTCATGGTGTACATATGAGACATAGCCTATAAGTGAGGGTGCCAAGTCTGAATATAACTTGTGGGTGATGGCATTAAGTGTAGGCTCTGAGTGCAGTGAGTTTGGAGTGGTGTTGGATTCCGAGGGCATTCCACGAGATATATGAAGCATTTGATTACTGAAGTTTACCCTTTGCTTTCCAGGGGGGCAGGCGAGGATGAGCTATAACTACGTGCATTGTCAGGCAGCGTGCAGGTTCCTAGTGTTGGGGTTATAAAACCGAACTGGATTTTTATCTCTTTATTTGGTGATGAACCAAGCACAAGTGATGTCAGCAACCGTCGTGAGGCGAATGATGATTCCGGCTGCTTAAGAACCTGACCGGCGATGTTTACTCGGTCAGTTTGGGCGGTCCCGAGGCAGGAGTCGGCCAATCACAGGTCAGGTGCGGTTCTCGATTGATGGCCAATCAGGAACCGCTACAGCACTCCCCCTCTAGTTTCGCGGTCGCGAAACGGACTTTGGCGATTTTGATGGGCTGGTGTAGGTGTGCAGGTTTGACGCGGTCGACGGTCACGGTGTCTTCTCCCTTTGGCGGCGGATGGTGATCGTCTTGCGCTCTTCGGATGACCGGGAATGGACCCTCGTACAGAGGACAGAGAGGAGGTCTGGGATGTTTTCTCATGAAGACGTGAGAGCAATCCTGGAGTCCTGGGGGCATGTATATATCCTGTTGTCAGGTGGGTCTCGTCGGTCGGCTGCGTACCGGGGTCATCCGTTCGCAGAGTTGTTTGCTGAAGGTTCCTGGTTCGAAGTTGCCGGCTGTGACGATGAAATCTGCAGGGAGGGCGAGCGTTGTTCCGTAGACCATTTCCACAGCGGTGCACTGCAGGTCCTCTTTGAAGGATGTCCAGATGTTATGGAGGACATGGGGGAGTTGGTCGACCCACCTCCTGTTGGAGGAGGAGGTCAGGGCCTGCTTCATATGCCGGTGGAGTCGCTCGACCATGCCGTTGGCGCAGGGGTGGTAGGCGGTCGTCCTGATTCACTTGGAACCGATTAGTACCATCAGCTGGCGCCAGAGTTCCGACTCGAACTGGGCGCCGCGGTCGGTAGTGACGGTATCCGGCGTGCCGAAACGGGAGATCCAGGTGCTGAGGAAGGTCCTGGCGACCGTCGCTCCGGTGATGTCGCGGATAGACGTAGCCTCGGGCCATCTGGTGAAGTGGTCGATCATCGTCAGCCGTCGTCCGAGGGCAGGGGTCCCACTATATCGATGTGGATGTGTTGGAACCTTTCGTCTGGGATAGGGAACGTCTGGAAGGGAGATTTTGTATGTCTTTAGATCTTGGTCCTCTGGCATTCGATGCATGAGCGGCACCACTGTCGAACGTCTTGTTGATGCCAGGCCAGACGACTTTGCCGCGGATGAGATGTTGGGTGGCCCGGATGCCTCGATGCTGGTGGTATGCGTCGAAGAATCGCCGGCGGAGGGAAGGCGGGATGTATGATCGTGGGTAGCCGAGGGAGACATCGCAGAGCAGGTCGTCGCGGGAGTTTGGGATCTTGACTCTCTCAAGGCTAAGGGAAGTCTGGCTCTCTATGAGCGAAATCATGGATGCGTCCTGGCGTTGTTCACTGCTGACCAGGTGGTAATCCACTGCGTCGTCGGCGGGGTCGCTGCAGCTATGGTAACCCTCGAGAGGGCATCGGCGGCCTCGTTGTCCGCGCCCCGGATGTGACGGATGTCCGTCGTGAACTGTGAGATGTAGTCCAGGTGGCGCTCCTCGCGAGGGGATTGGCGGCGGGTCCTCGAGTGTAGGCCGAAGGTGAGGGGTTTATGGTCCGTCAGGATGTGGAATTCCTTAGCCTCCACATACGGCTGGAAGTGCCTCACTGAGGAGTATGCTGCCAGGAGTTCCCTTCCGAGGCACTGTATCATGACTGACGTGGCGACAGGGTCTGCGAAAAGAAGGCAAGAGGTTGCCATTGCTTACCCTGACGTTGCTGGAGGACAGCGCCGATGGCAGTGTCGGAGGCGTCGACGGCGATGTTGAGAGGAGCCTCGGGCAGAGGGTGGTTCAGCAGGGTGGCGGAGGCCAGGGCTTCCTTGCAGGTTTCGAAGGCTTCGTTGGTAGGGGCGTCCACTTGATTTTGGTGTTTCTGCTGGCCCTGTTAGGTGTGATCAGGGCGTGAAGGGGCTTGAGGAGCTGGGCACACTTGGGAACGAATCTCCTGTAGAAGTTGAACATCCCCAGGAATTTTCGAAGTTGTTTCTCCGTGGCAGGCTTGGGAACTTCCTTATGGCGGTGACCTTCTCCTGCGCTGGGCCTTGAGAGGTGACGGTGTGGCCTAGGAAAGAGAGCGAAGCCGCGCCGAAGAGACATTTCCCTGGGTTGATCACGACCCCTGCTTCTTGCAGTCTGCCGAAGAGGGCGCAGAGATGACGGGCGTAGTCTGCCTCTGAGGCGCTGGCGACGAGGATGTCGTCGATGTAGGCGAAGACCCCCTCAAGGCCGCGAGTCATGTCGTTGATAAACCGCTGGAAGGTCTGAGCAGCGTTGCGGAGACCGAAGGGCATCCTGAGAAACTCAAACAGGCCGAACGGTGTAATAACGGCAGTCTTGGGGATGTCCTCAGCGATCGGAATCTGGTGGTACGCCCTCACGAGGTCGATCCTCGAGAAGACTGTACAGCCGGACAGCTCGTGGGAGAAGGAGTGCAGGTGCGGCAGCGGGTATCTGTCAGGGGCGGTAATCGTGTTGAGATGACGGTAATCACCGCATGGGCGCCAGTCGCCGTCCTTCTTCACCAAATGCAGAGGGGCCGCCCATTGGCTGCTGGAAGGGCGTATGATCCCCAACTGCATCATGTGGTCGAACTCTGCCTTGGTACTGCGACATCTGTCGGGGGCGAGCGGACGGCAGCGAGAGTCACGATGTGGTGACGGACCACGTGCCGTGGTTGGGTGGCCCGGTTGATCGGCTTGGTCAAGGCCAGGAATTCCCGCAGGATGTTCTTGAAGGCGCAGGTCCTGGGAAGCACTGTATATATTAGGGGGGTACTTACCAGAGCCGGAGCAGCGTGCATGCGGGCCCCGGATTGGTGGATTAGGGCCATACCTTGCAAATTGACCGTCAGATCGTAGTGTGCCAAGAAGTCGGGTTGGGTGGCCCGGTTGATCGGCTTGGTCAAGGCCAGGAATTCCCGCAGGATGTTCTTGAAGGCGCAGGTCCTGGGAAGCACTGTATATATTAGGGGGGTACTTACCAGAGCCGGAGCAGCGTGCATGCGGGCCCCGGATTGGTGGATTAGGGCCATACCTTGCAAATTGACCGTCAGATCGTAGTGTGCCAAGAAGTCGGCACCGATGATGGGTTGTGGGACGTCGGCGACGAGGGAGATCCACTGGAATCGTTGGGCGGGCTCGCCTTCCAGCGAGAGGGTCCTCGAACGCTCGCCATAGGTGTTGATGGGCAATGTGTTGGCAGCTTCCAGAGTGCAGGAGGAGGGGAAGCGTTTATTCCTGTGGGAGGCTGGAAGGAGGCTGACCTCGGCCTCTGTGTCGACGAGGAAACGTAGGGAGGAGGAGGCATCTCGGACATACAATAAACACCTCCGAGGTCCGCGAAAGACAGGCGCGCCCAGTTTCCGCGGTTTCCTCCACTCTTTGCGCGGCGGTGAAGGAACGCGGAAGCGAGGCTGGGGGATGGGCGTTGAAGAGCGCCTAATGTCCCGTCCAAAGCGTGGTGGCGAAGGGGTGCGAAAGCGAGGCCGGGAGTGAGAACGTTCCTGTGTGGATATCTTCTGCACGGCCTCGGATAGTGTGGCGACATGGGCTGCAAGGGCTGCCTACGTCACGGCGGAGGGTGTGGTCGCGGCAGACACTGTTGCTATTGACGATGTGGGTACCCTAGCTACGAGCATCGTGTTGGCTTGCAGGGCAAGTTGCTCCAATGGGGCATCTGACACCAGCAGGCTTTGCTGGATATCAGCGGGCAGCTGCTTGAGGAAGACGGAGCGCATGACGTTAGGTGGGAGTGTAGTGCCGGTGCGGGTGAGGAGGCGCTGGAAGTGGTGAAGGATTTCTGTGGGGGTACGGTTGTTCGCGGTGTCAGACGACAGGAAGGAGCTTAACACGGTCAGAGGGTTAGGTGCTGCTCGCCTAAGAATGGCCTCCTTAAGCTCGTCGTAAGTGGCGTACCGATGATTGTGCAGGAGGTCGCCGACGGTCAGAAGGAGTTCTGGCGGGAGGTTAGTGACCAGCAGGCGGAATTTTGTGGTCTGGGTGGTTATATTCGAGGAGGAATTCCTGCTCCACTTGAAAAAAACATTCTGACAGGCTGGTCAGAGAGTAGCGTCCTGTGTGTTGCTGACATCTTGTGTAAAACTTGGTTCACTCCGAGGGTCACCAGTGTTGGGGTTATAAAACCAAACTGGATTTTTATCTCTGTATTTGCTGATGAACCAAGCACAATGATGTCAGCAACCGTCGTGAGGCGAATGAAGATTCCGGCTCAGGTCCGGCTGCTTAAGAACCTGATCGGCGATGTTTACTCGGTCAGTTTGGGCGGTCCTGAGACAGGAGTCGGCCACTCACAGGTCAGGTGCGGTTCTCGATTGATGGCCAATCAGGAACCGCTACACTAGCACACGAGAAGTGGAATCCAAGGATGGCATTAGATCTCGCAGCCTCTCAAGGTGAGAGGTGATAACTTGGTGGGACTCAACTAAGCTGGCGAGAGTACTAGCAGAGGTAACTTGCTGACTAACCAAGTTATCAATTCGTGAGTCGATGGCATCAAAACAGGCTGTGAGTGCTGTACATCACACTTCCAGAGAAGCAACAGCCTTACGAAGGGCAGCAACTTCTGCAGAATCAACATGAGGAGAGTAAGGTGGAGCTGTGGGTGGTGGCGGAGTAGCATTTTGAGGTGGGGTGGAATGCTGAAGCAAGGCGATGTGAGAATGCTTGACACAGCCATACCAGACATTAGCTCCTGACATGTGACATCGAGGGCATTTCCACTGCGAGGTGTCCGGTACAGGTGATGATGTGTTTGATGTAGAAGTGGAAGCAACAGCTGCAGTGGGTGTGGGTGGGGTGCACTTTGGACAAGAGCGGATGGCATGGCCAGCAGCACACCATGCACGAGGACGAGCAGTATCGTGATATATAGCCGATACCCCACCATTTGAAGCACCACGGTTGCTCATCTTTCATCCTGCTCAACTCACAAGGAGGAAGGTGAAGTTGACGGCAGGCGGAGGCGGTTCCCTGAGACTCCAGGTGACAAGCCGGTTGATAGGCGTTACATTATGGTGAAAGCGAAGAAAAGTGTACACTCCTGGCAGTTACGTTACCAGGGAAGGGTCAACACCAACAGGGTAGCGAGTTATCAGATAAGTAGGGAATTTACGGGGCCTGTCAATCGAGTCCTGAACGTGAAGGAATGAGGATAAGAACTCTCCTTTTGTGATACTATCAATGATGTCCTCATGCTGTCTTGAAATGTAAACGAAGCGGGAGGTAATAGCAGACATCACTTCAGCAAGTTCCCGATCGAGATAGAAAGCCTTGGTGACCTCAGACAGCTAGCGATTTTTCAACGTCATTGCTAAGGTTCTCTTGGAAAACAAGTTTGACATATTTGTTCTGGGGAGCAAATGCCGGAAAAGCAGGTGAAGTCATGGACGGCATAGTTTGAGATGAAGGGCGAGGTAAAGTGTTGTCAGGAACACTGTGATCAGCAAGAGCTTCACCACGCTTGAATGTCTTAGCAGCAAGAGACGAGGGTGTGCTGCTGGTGTCTGAACTATGCTCCATAGTGCGTTTAGTGGCGGCGGGAGTTCTAGGCCTATGGTCAGGGCCTGCAACATCAGGCGCCAACCCATGATGACTGCAAGACTCTAGGGGGGGCCAATGGTCGTTACATCGGTTTCCGTTACATCAGCAAGGGAACCTGGCTTGAGAAGTCCATTGCGCCGCGCACTGCGCATGCACAGACCCGAAGGCTGCTGAATGTGGAGGATTTTAGTCGAGTATATGATTGTTCATAAGAAATGCACTCAAAGTTCAAAACTCTAAAGCACACTAATGTCACTATATTCACCATTGAGATCAGCTGGGGGGGGGGGAGTAGTAACCGTTCACTAAGAGAAATAAATGATTTGTGTTCGTGAGTGCAAATAACGAAATCAGTGAAAGAATAAAATAAACCAAATCGAGTGAAATTC